TGATAATAAATTTCGGGGCTGTTGATTTACTTTTATCTTAATTGTTATTGTAACTGTATAATGATTTTGTTACCACTCTCTGTCTATATATATATATATATATATATATATATATATATATATATATATATATATATATTTTTGTATATTTTATTTACTCAATTCGGTTTTTCGATTTTTGAGTAACGTAGTAATTTTTATCGTTATATAACAGTTATAGCTATTTTTTATGTCCAATTTTTGAATTTGTTATTGTAGTCTATTCTAAAGGTTATTTTAGCGGGATTAGTTTGTTAATTTGTTTATTATTATTTACTCTATTTATTTATTTGATTTGTTTATTTTTACTTGTTTTTATGTATTTAGTTATTTATTTTTTTATTCATTCTATTTCGTCTATTCTAACGGGAGGGCTTTTTTATTTGATATTTTTTTGTTTGGGTTAATTTATTTTACTTGTTTTTTTATATTATTTTGTTTATTTGTATTTATTCATTTCAGTTTTCGATTTTTAAGTAACGTAGTAAAAATTTGTTTTCATGTCTGCATTTTGAGATATACAACCGAAACAAAAATAATAACATAATCTGTAATAATAAATTACATGAAAACAGAATACCAATAATATATGACGACAAAGATGAGGACAATAGTCCGAATAATAATATATATATATATATATATATATATATATATATATATATATATATATATATATATAAAACGTTTATTCAGGCAATAAATTTCATTTTATGCAGATATTTTTTAATGTAGTGCATTTTAACTTATGCTGGTTTCAAACAAAGCTCTTTTCATTAAATTGGAATCCGTCAATTGAATTGGGTGGAAGGAGGACTTCGTAGTTTCGACCATCATCAGGAAGCAAAATTGTACGGATATAAGTCACAAATATTAGGTTAAGATATTTTAAAAATGTTTTATAAATTATTTGGTTAAGAGTACAAATTGCAGTTTGTTGTTGATGCCATATATGTATTTGTAAACAAAAAACATATAAAAATAGATGCGCGTGCACACACACACACACACACACACACATATATATATATATATATATATATATATATATATATATATATATATATATATATATATATATATTATATGACGTCATACATAGACAAATCCATGGCTTACAATAATAATCTATGTACGTTGATTTCTGAAAGCAAATTGTCCAAAGCCGGATGAAAGGGGTAATTACAAAATTATCCAAATTTAAATGCACAACTGGAAGCCCTTAGTTTCAGTTTAAGTTTTTCCATCGTGTTGATTAAAAATGTTATTACGAACTTGATGACTAAAAACCATCAACACAATTATGAGCTGTGATATAGGCCTGTATGTGAATGGCATTATATATATATATATATATATATATATATATATATATATATATATTGCTGCGCAAAAGTAAGTGAACATTAAAAAATATTGTCTCTTTTACAGATTATTTTTATTGAACTATATATTAATTTAGAAAAACTTTTTACTAAATCAATTAGAAACACCTTCAAAAACTTTTATCAGGCTGGAATAAAAATATTTATTAAAAATTATGTTGTTCAAATGTAAATAAACCCTTACACTCTGTATTTTTCTTTTGTATTGTTACCATTGCAAAGAATTTTTTGCATGTAAATAAAAACAAAACAAAATGACACGTGTTTTATTTTGTGGGGGAAGGTCAGCTGTGTATACCTACAATCATCTGTTGACCATGTTCACCATAGTCTATGAGTATAGAATACAGCGCAGTACGTAATCTGTTCAATGAAACAACGTTAAAGATTAACACTCACGAACAAAGGTTGGCAGTGAGTATTCGGAAAAAAACATGGCCGCCTTTATACACGTCGCACTGAATATTTTGAGCCTTCTGATTGGTTAACCCTTCTATTGGTGAACTATAAAATGAGTCAGCTCATTTTGGCTGGCTCACTAATACATCAGTGTACCCAAAAATTCCAACATCATCCAATATAACTCATTGCATATGCAAAAGGGTTCAGTTAGAGAATAAATGTTTAAAAAAATATGCTAAGATCAAAAGAAATTACTGAAGCTTTAAAAATCGCATAGTTGAAGCCTATACTGATGAAGAAGGCTACTTAAAAGCTATGGAAGTAATTTCGAGTGCACGTCTCAACCCTGCGACAAATTATTAAATGGAAGGCTTTGGTATGCAGGCATCGCAATCAACAAGTGGCCGTCCGCCAAAAACAACTGCAAGAACAAGTGTAGACATCTCGTTCTGCTGTGACCTCTGCGTTTCTCCAAGGATCCCTGGCCAATGTTGGAATCAGTATCGCTACAGTGCGACGAAATCTTCATATGTCTACAGTGCATATGAAATCTGAACGATGCCGGTTTTCTCTGTAAAAATACATGTATTATAATTATTACATACCATCAGCCATACCCAGCTGGTCGATCAGAAAAATCCTTCAATTAGAATGGAGCAAAAACAGCATCATGTTTAGATGTAACAGAGTCTATCTTCTGCAATTACTTTAAAGTACTTTCATTAAAAAAAACATTTTGAATTAATGCAGTTACTGATATAACAGAAGTAGTCTGTATTTATTCAATCGAAGTTAGCCGAGGAAATAAAGGGGTAAAACAGGCAATATGAAGACCCACTTCAGACCACAATCATTTTGGAGTTTTTGAAATTCAATTTGTCAGTCCGCTACCAGGGATGTAAAAGAGGGTATACTTATAAAGCAGTTATCAAGTTTGATGAAAATTGGTTGAAAGATCAACGAAAAATAAGAAAGAAACCAGTAAAAACCGTCGTTTTTCGCTATTTACGCGGGTTTTCACTATATGGGTGGACTCACTTATCAAGTTAAATGATTGTTAAACAATCAACTTATTGTTGGCTACAATTGAGTGAAGTTGGTATTAGATTGCTTGAAAATCGAGGTAGTTTTTAGTTTAAAATTTGTATTGAAATCGCTGTGTTGAAATCGCTGTGTTGAAATCGATTTTTCGTTTTTCGCAGTTATTCACTAAACGCAGTGGCGTAGAAATAAAAAACAAAGAAGTATCGTTGAGCTCGTCATGATATAAGTAACCTACATACGGTGTTTGAACGAAATCGGAGGAAAAAAACTGAATTTATCGATTTTTGATCAGATTTATCGAATTTTTTTTTTAAATTATCGATTTTTTTACGCTATCTCTTACAGTGTATGTATGTGCCAAGTTTGGTCAAAATCGGTTGGATGGATCTCGAGTGAAAAAGTATCACACAGACAGACACACAGACCACTATTTTATATATAGAGATAAATACATATAAATATTATGTGTTTTTCCAAATCTTATTTTCTCGATACAGCAAGTTTTTGTATAAACAATTTCACTTTTTACTTATCAAAGACTGTAAAAATCACGGAAAATGGCACGTAAAATAGAAAAACCAAAACAAAACATAACTGAAGATATCCTCAAGCGTCTAAAAGAAATTAATACAGTAATCTACTCTAACGGAAAAATTGGAAAGATTTTTTTTTGAAAGTATGGAAACACATACAACAAACAATGACAACAGTCAAATGAAAAATGACATAGAAAAACTTTGCAAAAATTTAGTTCAAAGAATACAAATCGAAAATAAACCATCACGGAAAGAATTACCTGAATATAGCCTAAGAGTTAATTTCCTTAAAAAATAAAAAAATAAATAAAAAAATAAACAAATGTACATGGATCAAAAACCTCAGTCTCAGAAATTTTACATTCTGGAACATGCTAAAAAAATAATAATAATTCGATATCTACGAATGCTGGTTAAACTTAACTTTATTGATATTACCAAGGAAAGTATATAGTGGGTTACCGGTTATAGTGAAGTGTATGAGTGTTGAAACAGATTAGTTTGATTTGGCCTTGTTAGTTAGATAGCCCACCATAAGAGGGGTATAAAACAAGAAAATCAATTTGTAAAGTGAAACAACAAATTTATATGCATATAAATCAATTATGGTCTTTACAAATAAAATTAATGTCTTTTGGTTGATACAAGAGCGTCAAAATGTTCGTAGTAGTCCTTGCAAGAATGAGTTTATGTGTACGTAGGCAGAAACGTATATATGTATGTATGTATGTATGTATATATGTATGTATGTATGTATGTATGTATGTATGAGCGTTATCGAAGTGTCAGAATGTATTTGAAGTAACCACTCAGTCTTAAAATGTTCCGTTCGTTTATCAAGTATAAAAGAGGTGAGGGAGAAAGCTAGAGATAATAATAACAATCGCTTGACGTTTGTCAAGAGACGTTTTAATACGCTCGTCTCCTTCTCTCTGGTGACAGGCGAACTTGCCCGTCTTTTATTTTTGTTTGTGAGGCTTGAAAGGGTCATTTGGGAATTCACTCCCGGATATGCTTCGGGTCTTTCCATTGGACGACGAACAAACTTCGCGTCGGCTCGCGAAAAGGTCCGTAAAAGAATTTTTTCCTGAGAATTAAAGATTATTTGAATTTTGATTTTAAATGTTTGTTTTTTTTTTTTAGTTTTCTATTGGCCGTAAAACATTTCGCATCAAGGTGTGAAATTTCACGAGGTTTGTTTTGGATTCGCTTTTGTGTGCGTGTGTGTTAAGAAAAGTTTGTAAATTTGAGTCTTTTTAAATTTCTAACAAAATCAATGAGTCAGTGTTTAGCATTTGAATTTTTAAATCTAGGTCTTGTTTTTTTTTTTCACTACAAGTACAACTAAAATCGATCAACAAGGAAACCAGATCCACAAAGACAAGTAAAAAAAAAAATCTAACGAAAACTAAATAAAAAAGAGCAAATGAACAAAAATACAAAGAGATTGATAAACAAACGGAAATAGAAATCTCTAAAATCTACGCTGGAGATTTACTAGATCATATTTATAAATAATGGAAACAAGAATATGAGAACAGGGAACTAATCTTACTATGGAGATGGGAGAAAAACGAAAACTGGTTCTCAAACCATGAAGAAAAATTTAAAATACAGCGAAGAAAATCCATTCTTTAAAAAAGTAAACAATAATCACACGAAAAACCACGCCCACACCACGCCCACACCACGCTCACACCAATATTTAAGTCATCAAAGGAAATCACCCTATAGACAAAATTCAGCTCAAACCTCGGACAAAAGACGAATCAGAGATTTTCCAAGACAACCACATTCATTTCAAAACATAAATGGATATAAAAAAATGGCGGGGAGATAATATAGCAAAATATCGGATGTACATAAACAATTCCGGACAAAGCCAGTACCACCCCCAGAAAAAAACAACCAGTAAGAAAATAAAGACAACAATTGAAGGATCTCAGGTGAAAAGATGCAACCGACCCCACTGTGGGATATGAAGTTACCTATTAAAATTTAATCAACAATAGCATTGAAAAAAGCAAAACAAATTAATATCTACAAAACGGTCAACTTTCAACACAAAGGAAAAAAAAAAGTTACTGACGAGTGAAAACTGCAGGCCACAATTAAAGAGCCTCAGGTGAAAAGACGCAACCGACCCCAATGTGGAATATGCAGTTACCTATTAAAAGGCCACGAATTTCACTTTAAAGACGTATCCAACTTCAAAATTAAAAATAATTTCTCGTACAACTCAGAAAACTTAATATATATTATAATTTGGAAATGTTGCCACGAACGCTGCATTGGCGAAACCGACTGGACACTCCAACAAAGGATGACAGTTCATCGCCAACAAATAGAAACTGACATATATTTTAAACCTACTGATTGTCAACGGTGTCTCCTTTTTGCATTTTTCCACCGTGAAACAAACTCGTACCAACAAACCACTCAACCTAGCTAAGCGAATCTGATCTGTAAAATATTCTCAAATATGAGAAGAGGCTATAGACTAGAAGAGATTAAAAAAATACTCATCAAGAGAAAATGTCCTCAGAATTTAATCAACAATAACATTTAAAAAATAATCAAATTTGTCGGAGTTAACTCCTCCTTCAGTTCATTAACCCTTTCACCAGGGGTCGCTCTTCGCTGCTATAAATAGCCGCTGACCCTTCGCCTCTTTCTCTTCTTTCTCTCTCAGGCCTTCGCGTCGACACCTGGAGGTAAATCTCTCTTTTTCCTCAGGCTTTCAGCTTGCAATCTCGAAATGTAGGCGCTAACAAGGGATAGTGTGGGAACACGCTAAGCACAATACACACACACACATACAGAATACGCACACACTTTGTCCTTTGTAACTGTTTCCATGTATTGTAACTTGTTATTAATATATATTTGTATATACATATATTATCGGTCTTTTGTTTGTTTTTTCTTTGCATTCTTTGGACTTAATTAAAGTCCAAACTTTTTATGTAGTTGGGTAGGAAAAATCGGAACCTACATTGTTCTTCTACGTCTGACTCCACAACACCACAGACACACACCACTACAAGTAACAAAAAACCGAGGAGAAGGATTCCTACAAATTAATATCTAGATACTCCGAGAAATAAAAACAAAAAAAATAAAAAAAAATGGTCATCTTATGTATCGCAGCTTTCAACCCAAAGAACACAGTAAGCTGTAAACACATACAACTAAATCTACCAGTCCTACTAAAAGGCAAAAAAAAAAAATGAAAAATCTATTACAAAAATACAGAATAATAAAAAGTAAACGAAAACTAATATATATATATAAAATATATATAATATATATATATATATATATATATATATATATCTGTCTGTCTGATGCGGCATTCACCCTGGGCGGATTGAGCCGGCTTCTTCCTGTTATGAGAAGAAGATTCTTGGGATAAATTACAGAAGTAGGGTACCCAGGCCTACTCGGATAACGTTCTTGCTTGCCGCGGGATTCCCACAGACGCAGAGACAGGAACGACCAGAAGCCGCCGGTTGCCGATGCAGACGCTCCTTGGATTTTCACCAGAGCCCTTGTTAGCCGGCGTGTGTGTCAGACCTGTCCGCCTTGGGTGGCCCTACCAGGAACGAAGTTCCGGGCGGCATAGCTCTGACACTACCGCTCTAGCTCTGACACTAAACGGTATATATATATATATATATATATATATATACTGACGGGGACAAAACTGAAGACCACAATTAAAGTTCGTTGGAGTCAAGCAGCAGTTTGCTGCCTGGCTCGCAACTGACTTGTCGATCTCTGCTTTCGGACTGAGAGAAGCCCTGACGAGGCTATGCCTACGAGCAGAGTTGCGTCTGGGGAGGTAGACAAACCCGATCCCGTGAATGCCGGGTCTACGGGGAATTTTCACCACAGCGTACGGGCTCGGATTTGTCCTAAATAAAAATCGGCCTTGTGCCACACCCTGCCTCGTGGGGAGGTTGGTAAATACCAGACAACAAATAAAGAGCCTCAGGTGAAAAGTGCAACCGACCCCCATGCGAAGTATGCAGCTGCCTATTAGAAGGCCACAAAATTTCACTTCAATGACGTGTCCAAATTCAAAAGTGAAA